TTCAGCAGGCCCGGAGACTCCAGGATTAAGGCCAGCCGGAGCTCAAGGGACAGACACCCCCTCCCTCCACCCCCGCAAAGAAAAAAAAATTCACCACTTTCTCCCTAGGATGCCAACTCCTTCCAGTGTAGCCTTGTGGCACAAGGCACCACTCGGTCACCTCTGCAACACCATGGCAAGAGAGAATGCACTGGAGAGTCCCACCGGGAACACAGATGGAGGCTCACAAGCAGCTCCACTGTCCTCTCAGCCTGGGTTCCTGGTTCAGCACTATAATATTTGGGCTGCTCTTCCAAGCTTGGATCCTGGAGTATGAATCAGCCCAGAAGGACTCAAAGGACACTCAAGTCAATGAAAGGAAGACAGATAGGGAACAGAAAGCAGAACAGGTCTGATTCAGGTGGCGCTGACTTCCCACATCTGCAAGGCAGAGACAAGGAGAGACCTTTGGTGCCCAGGTGTCCCGTCACCTGCAGCGTATGCCGCTCTGTTCAGGATCATAAGAAAGTAGGGCTGGAAGGGACCAGGTGGGCCATCTAGTCCAGCCCCCTACTCAAGGCAGGATCATCCCCAATTGGACCAGGATGCAGGGAGCTGGGCAGAAGCTGCCTAGGGCTGCCCACAAGCTACCAGGGGAGCAATGGTCCTGTAGATGATGCCGAGAAAGTGGCCAAGTTGCATCAACCCAACTGCACAACCCATGATTGAACAGAAACATAGGTCACTTGCCTAAACTCTGTTGAGTCCAAGGGCCACACAGCTCTCTGAGCTCCCTGCCCCCTCCCCACACTCTTTGCTATTCAGGGCAATGAGATCCCATCTCACAGTAGTTACAGCCTCCATGCTTTAAACCAGGTTACTGTGCAAACCTGAGCCTGCCATGATGGTGGGCGGGGGTGCGGGGTGTATAGGGTATACACATCTAAGCACCCATGCAGTCCCATACCCTGGCTCTCTCAGCAGAGCTAACCTGGAAAGGCGTTGGCAGCGATTATTCTGGACCTGCACAGGGTTAGCGTGTCACCACAGCCGTCAAAAGCCACACAGGTAGATGCTGGATGGTGCTGGATCTTTTTGGCCAGGACCCCTGGAAAAGCAGGAAGTAGCACCCCCGCCCCCTGTACGGTACCTGAGTCTGTATCCTGTTGAGACCCCTGAACCATAGGATCTGCCCACGCCGGAGCTCCATTTCGGCATGGTCAATCTCATCTAAGTCCTCAGGCAGCTCCTCTTCTGGAATATCCTCCTTGGTGATGCCATGCCCTGCCTCCTTCAGGAACTTCAACTGGCTGGTTGGGACAGTGCAGATCAACTGCAGACAAAGGGAGAGAATAGTTACACTTACCCTGCAATCCCCATGGTCCTATGCTGCCATAATCAGCACTGGTCCAGCTGTAGGCATACAGGTGCCCCTGGGATCTTTTGAATAGCTGTGTGTTTCAGGACCACCCATATCCCATGCACCTCCTCACACTCCCAGTGCCAGCATAGAGGTGGGTGAAGCAGCCACAACCCTCCCATTGCTTTCTCACTCCGAGACCCCATAAAAGCAGGGCTGGGGGACAGGTCATAGGATGGACACTGGGAACAATCTCACAGAACCATAGCTTCTACAGGGCAAGGCACCCTTCTTCTCTGGGTGCACATCAGTATGGATCTCCCTGCAGGCACTCAGTAAGTAGTACCATCTTGGGAGGACAGGAAGGAGAAACACCAGCTGCACTTGAGTTGAGCTGGCTGCAAAAAAATTGTCAAAACTGAAGAAAAAAAAAATGCTGCCTTCATCTTAATCGACAAGACTAAAGACGTGTCAGTTCTGACAGCAAAAATTCCCATGTGAAACTGTGATCCTTCAGAGAATACTGAAGTTTCACTCCATGCTGTTTTCACGTCTGTATTTTTATCCCTTTCCCGTTATTTTCCCGACTTGTCAGTAGGCCTATTATGCGGTGCTGTTGGCAACATGACAGGCCAGCTGAAATATTTTTAAAGCCAGTCCATCAGGATTAAATAGTGGCTGTTCTTAAGTGTCTTCTTTCCTAGATCAAAGTGTCATCGGCTCTTGTTTGTGCTGTCATGAAACAGCCGGACACGCTGTGAAGCGCTAGTATTAAAGCGCCGAGACCAACATCTCCCAAGATAAAGGGAGAACAGAAGGGAAAAAGGACATTCCAAATGCGCTTTTCTAAAGCCAAACCAGCATTTTTGGAATTTTCCTCTCCCACATCAAAGAGGCGAGATTTCAAACCAGATAGAGAAGCACAACTGGAGACAAATGGGTGCATTTGCTTTCCGATGTCTTGAGCTCTTGACCCACTGGAGTCCCCTTGGTAGAAGTGGTGGCCTTCTCTAAAGCCACTGTTCCTGGGGGTTGGATGCTCCTAGAAATGCTCCAACCTCTGCAATGCTACTTGGACACACTTCTCTGTCTGCTTTGAAATATGGAAAACCAAGGGTGAAGCCGCCCTTTTCTGGGGTGTGGAGGGGGTGCTGTGCCATTAATCACAAAGGCAATTTTTGATGGCACCAAAGAGCTGAGGACAGAGAGCATATGCATGACTAAGGCAGAAGCCAGGAGAGGGTGGCCTCTTAGAGACTAAATGGTTCAGAGGAGGCATGAGCTTTCCTAGGCAATGACCTCCTCTGTCAGATGCTTCACCAGTTTCATGGCATCTGAGAGTAGACCATAGCCTTCAAAAACTCATGCCACTCTGATCCACTTAGCCTCTAAGGTGCCACCCTGCCTTGCCTTCTGCCTGACATGGCTAACTACCTCTCTGCTGGATGTGTAAGGTTTCAGCTATCTTTGAAAGGCTCTGAAGGGTCGTCTTTTGGGACAGGAAGAAGCCTGCCCCTGTAGTCTTGTAGGCAATACGCTCTGAGAGGCAAGTGTGGGTAGCCTCTGCCGTGTCCCAGAAACTGTGCCAGTAATGCAGCACTTGGTACTGCACTAGTCAATACCAAGGGAGCTGGCACCCGATTAAAAAAAAAAAAAAAAAATCATCAGGGAGGAGATCTCCGTGCTGGTGGCTTCTTTTGAAAGCGGTTTCCCTTATGGAGGTGGGGGTAGGGGGAGAAGACTGTGGTGCCTGGTTACTGGGGTACTTGCAGGGAGCTTCCTCAACTCTGACAGAGGAGAAGCTTGGCCCAGAGTTAGATGCACCTTTCCTGGGCTGCTCACTCAGAGATGTATTTTAAGCCTGGTATCTGTTTCAGGGTGTGGGATGAGAAGAGCAGCACATCGAGCAATTTGTGGGGCTGCATTCTTCCCCAAGCCTGACGGGACCTCTGCTGAGCCTGTCGAATAAGACACGAGATCCTCCCGCAACAGAGCTCCCATGACTGCAGGCGAAACAGCAGGGCAGTACCCGAGGGGTCCCCGTGTCGGCTTGTTTCTAGAACGCCCAAATCAAAGCATGAAGAGAGACACCAGGGGCTGGATGCTTGGCAGGGCCTGCTGGCTGCTACAAGCAGTGCCGGGGAACCAGGGAGGAAGCTGGCAGCTCCTTTATGCCCTCATACAGGAGCATGAGGAGACGGGGGCACAGGCTCAAACAGCTATTCCAAAAAATGAGAGCGAGGTCCACACAGACCTAGACATCCAAAACCCTATCCCCTCCTCTCATCTGCACAGGCTCAGGGACTTCCTCACTGTGATGCAGCAGCTTGGCTGCACTTCCCTCATGAGCCAGGCATTAACGCCGAGTAGAACAACCTGTTCCCTGGCCCCCAAACATTTGCCCTTAGCAGCTCCTGACGGGAACTACCAAGCGTAGCAGTTAGAAGTAGACTGCAACAGGGAGGGAGCTCCCCCCTCACCAGATTATAGCTGTATTTTTCCCTGGCCCTTTATGATAAACTCTGAATATAGGAAAGAAAAAGCTATCTACCATGTGGGGGTGGGTGGGCGTTAATCTTCCAGCAGCCGCCAGCGGCAGGGAAAGCACCCCCTCTGCTTTTAGAAGCAAGAAGCTGTGCTTGAGGGGGGGAAACAGGCGTGCCCAGCTCCAGAATAGGCAAGTGAGTGGATGGAGGTGATGCTGACTCTGGGAGGGGGTTGGGGCAACGCAAGGCAGTGGAGGTGTGCAGCATAATTAGACCGGCTCTTACCTGTCCCCAGAGCAGCTCGCCTACACCGATAAAAATACACCAGAACCACTGGCTCAAGGTGAGCCCAGAGCAGCTGAATGGCTTTCCTCCAAACTCCACGATGAGGATCTGTACAGGAGACAGACACACAAGTCAGGGGCAGTTAGAGGAGTGCACATCAGAGCAGCCCTGTGGCACTGGAGGGCTTTGCCTGCCCACAATGTTTCTCGCTAGCCCAGCATTGCGGGCTAGTGACGTGGCCTGTCCCATAGAAAACTTTGGGGAAAAAGTGAAAAGTTTCCCTTCCATTCCTGAAATTTCTCACCTTGGTGGAAAGGAGGAAAAAATGTGGATTTATTTACAACAAAGCACCTGGCATTACATCAAAAACACATACCTTTTGGCAGGAACAAAATGGATCTATAAATAGAAAAAGGACTGCTTGGCACTGAAGAATCATCCAGTGAAAGGGTCTTTCTGTGTCGCTCTCCCAACGCCTCTGTGGCAGCTGTGCTGACTTGGCCCGTGGGTGGTGTAAGGGGCCAAAAGGAAGCAGAAGTCTAATTTGAGCTAGCATGAGGCTAGAGAACTGCAGCAGCCTTCTCCCACAGCTTGCCTGGTTTCTCTGCCTAGCGCCATGTCCTGTGGTCTGTGTGGCTACACTACCGGGGAGGGGGACCCTACTGACACGTAGGGCATCTGCACTGCATGCCCAGCTGCCACCAAGCCAGCTACTCCCGTTAGGGTAGGAAAAAAAATGGATAGCCAAGCAGTTTTAGTTCAGACAAGAAACCAGTATCCTGGATGGTGACAGTACAGCTCAGGGCTGTGAGGCCAAGAATCCCAGAGAAAGAATCAAGAATGCAAACACTGAGTGAGGACCCAGAAGCAGGACCAGAACTGGAGCCTGCCATCACACCCCACCAAGACTACAGGGCTTTGAATGGCAGTCATTTGGATCCAGACCCTATTGAGCCCTTCAAAGACTCCTCCATGAGGGCACCAAGTCAGTTCTCACACTGGGAGGTTGATAAGGTCTTTAACTATAGTGATGGGTACTCCAAGCATTGATGTTTGTCCTCTGAGAGAGGGAAGGAGCAAGTACAGAATGGAAATAGAGGCAGAGCAACTTGTGCAAGATCACATAGGGGATCTGAGGGAGAGCAGGGAATAGAGCCTGGCTCAAGTTCCAGATTAGCAGCCAGACCTAAAGATCATCCTTCTTCTTCCACCCCACCTGCCATCCCCCATCCATGCATAAGCCCGCTGCTCTGTTACCTGCGCGCCAAAGGTGCCAAGAACCACCGTGCAGAAGATGGGATTCCGGAAGATGGACTCAAAGACGTTTCTCTCGCCGTGGATCTTGCGGGCGTTGATCTCATTGAAGAGCTGCATCATGACGAAGGTGTTGAAGACAATGGTGTAGTGTTCAGTGGGGGGTGAGTGGAGGGGAGTATTCCGGCCACTGTCGATGTCAAAAAACTTCTCGCCTACCACATAGGAGAGGAAAGTTCATGTTTGCTACCCACTCAGCTTCAGAAAGAACCTAGAATTTGAACTAGCCCATAATGCACAGCTGGAAAAAAAAAAGTCACCCTTGTGGAAACACGAGGGATGGCGTGATGGGAAACCGATACCCCACCTCGGTTGGCATGACTGGCGGGGGGCAAGAACAGCAGTGTCATACGGGTAAGGCTGGTGGGGCCAATTCAGAACCCAGCATAAAGCAGTTATTGGGAGGAAATGCACCCCCATACAGGCAGAAAGAGCTGGTGGAGCAGGTTTAGATTAACCAACAAAGCACTAATTTGGTGCTGGGTAGGTAGCCAGGGAGGGCTGAGTCCTTGCTGTCCTACCACCGGTGGAAGTTCTCTCTTCCCCACACACACTGTCCCCATCAGCCCTGGGCCAGAAGCCACCTTCATCTGTTGGCACACCCCTGCCCAGGTTTGTTCTTGGCCATTGGGTTGAGGCTAATGACAAGGGAGACTCATTAGAGCCATGTATGGTGGTGGCTTTTAGGATGGGGATACTGATTTGCTCAAACTGGATCGAGTCTCAAAGACCTTTTACACATCCCCCACGGCACATTTTGCAGCAAGTTGCACACATTTTCCGGGAGTAATTTCAGCCTGGATTTGATGGATTTCCTACGCAGCATGGCCGTGCATCACGTACCTTCTCTTACTTTGCTATGCAGGAGAATCAAACCACCTGAAAAAAATGCATCACTGTCCTGCGCCCTACCTTAAACGCTGATTGGAGAAGCTGCTTTTCCTTGCTACACTATGCCTTTGGCAGACATTTGGACTCACTGGAGTGGAGTCCCCTTGCAACTGGAGAGGTGCCCCAGATGGAGCAGACAGCAGCTTACATGGGCTTACTCCGCGATGGCTTAGAGGCAGAGGGGCATGCAGGTGACCTCACCCCACACCCTATGGCAATAGCAACTCACCTGCAAAGAGCAAGGTGAAGATGATGGTCAGCTGGTACACCGCATGGCCCAGGATGTTCTTCATCATGGTGCGGGAAATGAGGGGCTTGTTACGGCCATAGGGCTTGCGCAGCAGCAGGGACTCAGAGGGGGGCTCTGTGGCAAGGGCTAAGGAGGCAAAGGTGTCCATGATCAAGTTCACCCACAGCATCTGGACAGCCTTCAGAGGAGAGTCCTGCAGAAGAACAACCCCACAAAGAGGACCTGTTATATGCAATAAGCAACTTCCCCAGGCCTTACAGAACCACCCACAGCCACACCCAGAGCAGCCTGCCCTATCCCCCCTAGGCACTTACCTGCGTGATGCAGGCCCCTGTAAAAGCCACGATGACAGCCACAATGTTGACCGTCAACTGGAACTGCAGGAACTTGGAAATGCTGTCATAGACGTTGCGGCCCCACATCACCGCCTTGACGATACTGGTGAAGTTGTCGTCCGTCAGGATGATATCAGAAGCCTCTTTGGCCACGTCTGTGCCTGCTATGCCCTTGGGGGAGGAAGAGGCAGTGGTGAGTCACTGAGCAGACAGCTAAGGTCATCTCCCCGCTCCCCACCTGGCTGAACCCCAGCAATCATCTCAAGACACAGTCCCCAAGAGCTAGGGTTGGGCCCAGGATTTGCAGAATGGGCCCATCTCTCCTTAGATGAGGCCTGCAACATCATCCTGTTTCCTGTGCTAGTGCTCACAAGAAGTCCCTTGGTGACATCTCTAGTTGAAGAATACCAAAGCAGAGGAAAGGAAAATAGAAACATTGCTGGGCACTTCCCCTCCCAAGCATCAGCAGTGGGTACAGGAAGGGACATGTTCAGGATCCTACAGTGGCAGAGGCAAGAACAAAACCCAGATCTCTCGATTCCCAGACCAATGCCCTCAATGCTGGGTCATGCTGCCTGCTGACACCTCCAAAAAGGAAGCCTCTGCTTACCTCCAGGTCAGGTCTTCATTGTACTCTACCCTTTGAGCAGACTGCTGCAGCAAGCAGGGGGCTTAGGGACCTTTAGATGTTAAAATTCAGGACACACTGCACCCGGAGCTCATTTACAAGTCGCTGGTGCTCCTAACTCTTTGGCCACACATACCATGAGGATCCAGAGGTTGTGTACCTTTGCCCCTTACATGATTAAGCTTTAGGAACTTCCAGAGGAACAGACAGGCTCTCAAAACAGAGATAAAGACCCAACCAACTACACTGCATCCTAGAGAGTTGTCCTGGCTCAGATGCATGTTTGGTCTTCTCTGTCTGTCACTTCCCCCTGTTCCTAACTTAGACCCTTAGACCCTTTTGCAGTGAGCTCAACAGGTGACTTTGCCCACTTGGGATCCTTCTGGAATCAGGCTGCACTTCCTCTAAGGCAAGCCTCTCTCATTTTCCAGGCACCATATATGAACACTAGCAATGATCTGGCTTAGCTGCATTACTCACTGACAAGCACTAGAAGGAGCTCTGTGCACACAGATCCTGTAGCCACCGGGAAAGCCAAAGGCAAGCCAACTGCAGGAGATGCCCCACGGTGAGCAATTCTCCCCAATGTTTTCCTGCTAAGCCTGGGTACAGGGCAAGTCTGATCTTGGGTGGGAATTCCCTGACTTCTGTAAGCAAGCATGCTTGACAGGGGAGTCAGAAATTAACAGCCACGTGACCCTTTTCCCAGCTCCTGGAGCCAATGCTTAGAGGAGATGCAGGGTAGGATGCTTCAGATGACTTGTGACCCTGCTGCAGGCCTGGAGATGCTGCTGTACCCCCTTCCTGGATGCTGCAGCAAGGCAGTTCTCTCTCCTTCCTAGGGCAGCATTCGGCCTGCTGGGTCATCAGAGACTGCTCATGCAGTCTCTCTGGGGCTGCCTCAGACACCAAGTTATGTACTTGGACTGAGTCAGAAAGAGAGGAGGGAGAGACTGAGAAAAAACACCCCCACATGCACACACCCACACTGCTGGTGCTGTGGGGGACTTAAAAGCAAGACCAAAGCTACTTAAGCTTTGAAATCCAAAGCTTGCGAAATTGCTTCCATGAAAATACTTCATCTCCAGAAGTTTTTTTTTCCCCCCATGCGTCTCAGACACACTCTCCCTGGCAATAGCAGCAACCCACGCGCTTTGCAGCCGCCTGTTTAACGTACCAGAATTCAAAACAACCAATTCGCTAGAAACAAGTGAAACCAAACAACAGGTCCATCCATTCCTATTGTCCCATTGGAATAGAAATGGATGCAAAAAAGAGTACATAAATCATGACAGCACACGTGGCAAACCAGAATTTCAAAACACTTTCAGCATAGATAAACGAACATGATATTAGCCACAAAGTCAACAAAAGATTCGGAATTTGGGCCAGTAACTTGGGCACGACTCTAGACCACAGAGTTGGTATCTACTAGTCACAGACCTCAGCACCTCTAGAAACCAAGCCTTTCATTTTTGGGCGTGCATGAATAAGTTCAGGACGTAACATTAGGTTGCCAGTCAACAGCTCAGGCCAGTATCCTAACCCAACATATCATCCAGTAAGGGCAAAAGGAAGGCAACATGCCTTTGAGCTGGGGGTGGGGGTGAAAAGGAGCAGGAGATACTTGCAGGACCCTTGCAGCAAAATCCCTACAGATATTACTTCAACATGCCCCTGGCCCCTGACGAGTTGAGACGTTATGTCAAATCCGAGCGAGGCTTTTACAGCCAGGATATGGTTCTCCATCACCTTCCATAGGATTTTTCAGAGCGATGGCTCTGCAGCTTAGAGTCTCCCAATGTCCGAAGACAGGTGCTTGTGCCCGAAAACTTGCAAAGAACTTTTTTCCAGCTATTTAGTTGGACCAATAAAAGAGATTATCTCTACCCAAAGAACCTTGCCTCCTCCCTATTAAGGCACTTCAGGACCTTTCGAAAGGCAGCCCACCATGCAGAGGTATGCCCATTCTCTTGCCATACCATAGCGAATCCCACGTCGGCTTTCTTCAATGCAGGGCCATCATTGGTCCCGTCCCCCGTCACGGCCACCACCTGTCTCCGCTCTCCAACGGTGCTGTCAATGATACCTGAAACGTGGACACGCAGGTTAAAGGGAAGACAGATCCCCCAGCAGGCTCCGAGCATACAGCTCAGCAAAGAGCAGTGCCCATACAATGCTGGCCTGGATGCTGTCCTGGAGCAGGCGCCTGCCTGCCAGGGGAGCACTGAGGGCTGCGTCTCTTCTTGGTAAGGGTCATCACGTCAAGCCTGTTTTCCAGTTCCCCCATCTGCTGGGGCTTAGTACAGTCCCTTCTATAGCACCTTCCAGAAAACATCTCACAGCCTTTGGAGACCTTGAGGAGTCTCCCCCTCACTGGCTCCCTGCGTTTTGGATCAGCAACAGGGACAGTGCCTTGCTCACTGAGTGTGAGCAACAGAGCCAGGAGAAGACCCTAGGTGAAGTCCCAGCTCAGTCCCCTCTGGGCGAGGGTCTGTACAGCAGCACATAAGCGCTGGCTCCCAGCAGCCCCTACCTTTCACAAGCGTGTGCTTATCCGTGGGCGAGGAGCGCGCTAGCACCCGCAGCTTGGGCCAGATCTTATCCAGCTGCTCTTGCTCAACCTACAGGACAAACCAGGAGAGAGGCCAGGTCAGACACCACATGCAGGAGCTTGGCAGCCTTTGGCCCCCTGCCCCAAAGACAGGAGCACTCATAAGCTGGGGTTGGGAAGAAGAATGGGATGTCACCTTCATCTTGCTATAAGTGCTACTCCCTGGCTGCATATGGAGCCTGGATACCCTCCTTGTGACCCTGGCTCTTGGCTAAGATGGCTGCATGGCTTCAGCAGCTGAATGGATCTGCATGAGACACTAAGATTTCCCCCTCCCCACCTATGTGGTCCCAGGAGAGAGAAGCTGCCTCCTCACGCTGCAGGTCAGTGCTTCCCATATAGCAATGTCCCCTCTTAGCTGGCAAGGCTGTTGCCAATGCCCTGGGGCCTCCCAAGCAGCTCAGGTAGAGGCAGGTCCTTTCTGTCCATCATGCCCCGTCTGGATTCCTACCTCGCCCTTCTCGTTCCGGATGAGCCGGTTGAACTCCTTCCCCTCCAGGCACAGGAAGTCCTCCCCAGGCAGCAGGATGCCGCACTTGGTGGCGATGGCGCGGGCCGTGTTGATGTTGTCACCCGTCACCATGCGGACAGTGATGCCGGCACGCTGGCACTTCAGGATGGCCTCTGGCACCTGGGGATGAAGGGAGGCAAGATTAGATGCAGGACAGCATGGCAAAGGTGAGGAGCTAGAATAAAGAGCTGGCAGGGGGAAACCAGACACCCCACCTTCAGGGCCAAGCACATTCCTCCTTGATCTCCCCTCAATCAGACTGGCCAAGACTGTGGGGGTTTCTGCCTTTCTCTGCTCTATGAGGCTTGGTCTTTCTCCTTGGGTCATATTAACCAGATGTCTCTTCTAGGGGTGGCAGGGCAGTAGCAGTGCCCTCCCCCCACCTTTTTATTTGCGTTGTAGGGTGCATGGGCTTTTCATGAGGTGCTCTGTGGCTTTGGTGTGCGAGGGGTGGCAGCGGATACTTTTCAGGACTCTTTGCGTCACTGGAGTCTGTGAATGCAGACAACCAGATTCAAAGCCCAGAAGGCTCCTACCCATCTTGTGTTCCCAACCCAGTGGGAGTCAGATGCAGAGTCAAGGGGACCCAGTATGAACAGAGCACAGGAGAGGGGAACTGGGAACGAGTGCATCTGCACCAACACTGGAATACAGGCACCATGATAGCACCTGGTTTCCTAGCTGGATTAAGGCAGGATTGTTGGGTCTGGGCCCAGCAGTCAGAAGTTCAGGCACAGCCGTGAGCCAGTGAGAAGAGACAAGTTGAGTCTGAAGAGTCTTGGGGCAGGGAGTGGGGAGAGCCCTGTGGGCAAGAGAGGAGCAATGAGAGAGGTCAGATGGGGCCACAGCTGGTTTGGAGGAGACTGGAGCAGGGGCCAGGTCAACATTTGGGGGTTTCAGGCCTCTTTAGTTCCAATCCACCCACAGACATCATCAGGCTGGGCTGTGTGCACACCGATCCACAAGGACAGAGGAACAGGGTGTCCTTGGAGCCGACAGCAGGATCCCTAAGCTCCATTGATAAGCGAGATGCCCCCTTCCCCACCACACACATCTGGAGCAGGGCTCTATCTTGGGAACCTGGAATCAAGAACCAAGGTCATGCCTAACACAAGCATGGGACGGCGAACCTCCAACCTTGCTTTGGGGAAGGAGCTGCTCAGTGATCCCGGTCTGTGGAGCCCCGACCTCACTACAAAGGGCTCTTTAGAGGTGCATGGTGATGGAGGAATTTCCAACATTGGAGACCAGTGCTGCACTCTTCTTGCTATACAGGTGGCACAAAGGGCTCGGGGCATTCAAGCTCACTTCCCAGAAGCCACAAGCGGCACATGCTCCTTCCCAAGCTCAGGGCAAGCAAGCAGCTGATCACGCCTGCCCCTGAGGTCTCGTGTCCTCCCCAGCCGCAGCCGGAGCAAGCACGCTTACTCCAAGCGGTTCCTGGAACCGACACCAGCAGCATCTCTCCTCCCGTTCCCGGGGGTAATGTAATCGCGTCTCCTCTACACGATGCTGCGGCGCTGGCGCCAAGGTCTGGCTGGGCAGGGAGTCGAGATGTGGGATGCTGTATTTCTCCCACACTGTTGGATGGCAGGTTGACAGCGGCCTCCCCCCCCACCAACCTGACCTCACATCTCAGGCTGCCGCAGCACGTGGCTACATTAATGGGTTTATCTATTAGCGAACAAGCCGCAACGGCATGGGAGGGGGCAGGAGGCAGGATATTAGTGAGAAATTAGCAAATTGAATCACAGCCTCCAGAGCCAGCAGAGACAGGGCATCTGTAATGCGATTCCCAAGCCCAGATACTTCAACATCTAATTAAGGAAAGATGCGAGCAAGGCCAGCATGCAGGGGGCAGGCTCCAGAATGAGATCAGGAGGCACAGACGGGAGGGCTGATTGTGTTAGCCCAGCTGTCTGCCTGTCTGCCCCGTGGCAAGTGGTGAGAAACAGCAGAGGGGAAGCAGGGGCAGGAGGCTGCAGGGGAAAGTGAGGTTTACTGCTAAGGGTGCTCTCTGCCTCTGGGGGAGGAAGGGGGCAAGTTGGTACCCCAACCACCCACACCATTAACCCTTTTACTGACCATGGCTCTATGTAAGCACCGGCCACTTCCCCTTCCACTGACTGGCCCTATAGTCACTTGTGCCATGCATGCTTCTGCCACACAGATCTGGGGTCGTAGTAAGACAGAGAAGTACATGTCCCAGGTACCTAGGGTGGCCCAGATGGAGAAGAGCATCTTAGGAGTGGCAGAAGCATAGGGTAAGGCAGCCTGTGGGCATCTCTGGGATGTTTGTGCACTCCAAGACACTCATGCCCCTGCTATACAGCAGTAGTGGAGAAGTGTGTGTGGCGGTGGGTGGGGGGGTGGTGATTACACCCTACATATTTTGCAGGGGATGGGGAAGGGATGGAGAAGCACCCAGCAAGGGGGACACATTCAGATACCTCTGGGCGCACAGGGTCTTCGATGCCGACCACGGCAATGCAGGTCAGGTCACCCAGGATCTCGTTCTCGCTGTCCCAGTCGGGCTCGGCGCCGGCCGGGAAGTCCCGGTAAGCTAGGCAGATGGTGCGCAGCCCGTGGCAGGCCATGGGCTCAATCACCTTCTTCACCATCTCATCGCGGTCCTTCATCTTGAACAGCCGTGGGTCCCCATTCTTGTCCAAAATCTTTGCGCACCTGCACCCAGGGCAGAGGTTAACGGAGACCATGCTGTGTGCCTGCCACTCGAACCACAGAGACACAGGCCTCCCACCCCAGCAGGGCCCTGGCCACTCTGCAGGAGACACCATCCCACTGACATGCTTAGAAGGAGCTGCTCAAGAAGGACTTCACTCCTCTAAGCTGTGGTGAGTCCTAGGAGCTTTGGATCAGCTCAGCACCCAGGTGCTACCCTAGAACTGGCCCAGCTTCCCAGGGTGGCAAATTTGGGCACAGGAATCTCTCTGAAACACCACCTGCAACAGGCCCAGCACCACCTGGAACCCTCGGACCTGACATTTCACCAGCACTGCGTCTTCCATGCTGTTTTGGCTGCCAGGAGCTCAGAGGCCACAGAGGAGGTGACAAAATTAGTAACATGGCAGATACCACAAGGTCTCCAAGCATATTTGGCTTCAGTTCTGCTCAACACCCTGGATTTTATTCCAGGCATCAGAGGATGAATCAGTGGGACTATCCTGGATAGGACAATGCTCCTTTATCTCCCCGTTTCAGGTGCAAGAGGAAGGACATATAACCAATAGCTGCTACCAGAAGCTCCCCTGGAAATAGTGCAGTCTAGTGACGAGCACTGGGACCAGAAGTCCAGACACCTGGGTTCTACTCCTAGCTTTAACACTGTCAGAAACTGGTGACATTTGGCAGGTTATTTCCCAGCTCTGTGCTTCAGTTTGCCCCTCTGCAAAATGGGGATAATGCTACTGTTTTCCTTTGCAAAGCATTTTAAGGTCTACATGTGAAAGGCAGGACAAGGCCCAGGTATTATTTTGTGTTCTGCATGCGTGTGAAGAGAGTGTGAGCTTGCTCTCTCATACATCCCACATCACCCCAGTCCCCCAGGGCCAGGATCCTCTCATGGGCCTCTGGGAAGAGCTTCCCAGGCCATGGGCAGCCTGCAGGCCCTAGCTGGAGAAGTAGCCAGGAGGCTCCAAGTGGGGAAGGGTAGTTACTTGCGCAGGATGATCTCGGAGGCGCCCTTGCTGTACATGCGGAAGCTGCCGTCTGCGTTTTTCAGCACCGTGCTCATGGACTTGCGCACCGAGTTGAAGGTGTACACCTTGTAGAGCTTTTCCTCGGGCACCTCGTTCCTGACCGCCTGGTAGTCTTGCTTCAAATCCAGGACAAAGCCCAGCAGGGAGCACTCGGTCTTGTTCCCCACTTGCCGTGGGAGCCCCCCTTCCTTCTCTGGTGGCTAAAGAGTCCCCAGTAGGAGAAGAGAGGGGAGGCATCCATTAATGCAGCCCATGAGCCAGAATGGAATTGGAGGCCAGACATAGCTAGCTAACATCAAATTAGACAGTCATCAGTATGGTCCAGGGCCAATGCACAGAGATGAATGGGAGCACTTCCCACTTAAAGCTTTTAAACCAGATTGGCACAGGTATAAAAACAGATGCATGATCCATGAGGCTGTAACCCTTAGATTCTAACCATTTCTGCAGTCACGAGTCACTGCATCAGTTTGCATTGGTATAAAGAGACTGCAAAAACGTCAGACCGAGAAGAGCACAATGGTGTGATTTACATTTTGCATGTATCCACCCTCCCCCAATGCAGCCCTGTCCTCTCCCATGGTCTTAGCTCCTTGGGAGCACTGCTACCCGCCTCAAGCTCTTAGCAAGAGCTGTGCCTGGATCAAGTCCCCAGCTCGGAAATGAAGGGGGTGGAACTCACCAGGATCTTTGAGGTGTAGGCTGAGTTGATGCCAACACCATTGACAATGAGGTCCAGGACCTTAGGCAGGATGGCTTCGGGGTCGGGGATCTGCCGGTAATGGGTGTCGCCCACGTACGCCTGCACCACGGTCATGCGGTTCATGGTGAGTGTGCCAGTCTTGTCCGAGCAGATGGCCGTGGCATTGCCCATGGTCTCGCAAGCATCCAGGTGCCTCACCAGGTTGTTGTCCTTCATCATTTTCTGCAGTGGGGGATGGGCAGCAAAAGGGTGAGAGAGGCAGGAAGGGGGTCCCAGGTAAGGATGGGTATTTGACCGGGCAAGTCAATTTGACCGAACTTTACCAGTCATATATCAGTCAAAAATTGTAAAAAAAAAAAAAAAAAAAAAAAAAAAATTGCCAATAGGTCCAAACAACACAGAAAAAAGCATAATTTTTCCATTAAGAAATGTGCCAAACAACAACAAAAAGTCATATTTCTGTCAAGAAAACTACAAAAAAAAAAAAAAAAAATTTTTTTTTTTTTTTTTGTAAAACTGCTATCATCTTCGACCTGTCAAAAAACATGCAGTCAGTTGACTGGTCAATTGACAATATTTGACCAATCAACTGACCAGCTTGCCAATTCTAGTGCCAGGGCACAGCGCCTGCACTCTCCAAGTGACATGGCACCGCACAGGCTGGCAGGTTCTGCGGCGAGAGGCATCCCACCGGGAACCGAGAGAAGACAGCAAGGCGACGGCCTCTGCAGCCCACGTCTTTTCTCACTCCTGGATGGGAGCTGCCATTTGTGCGTGGCTCCTACGACACCTTCCACCCCCGCTTCCAGCTCTGCAGCAGCATCGCGGCGTTTCCACGGCAGTGCCAGCCAAATCCCCTCTCCTCGGCTGGGCAGAGGCTGCTGTTCCAGCTGATGCAGAGAAGGGAACGGAGGCTCTGGCTGGGAGAGGCAGCAGCTGAGGACTCATTTTGCCGAGCACTATGAGTCCATTTCCTTGCTACCCCACTCCGTGCCCTCTCCTCAGAGCAAATGCAACCATCTCACAGGCCTTGGTGCACATGAGCATCCACTTCTCTGTCCCTTGCTGAGGTCTGCCTCACCCTCCCCACACAAGGCAAATAGCCTCCTCATCCCCTGCCCGCCTCTTCTTCTGGTCCTTTGGGGAACAGAGTCACTGCCATCATCTCCGTAGCTAGGCTGTGGCCTCACCTTGACAGAGTAGGCCAAGGAGATGGTGACGGCCAGCGGCAGGCCCTCGGGCACAGCCACCACCAGCACGGTGACGCCGATAATGAAGAACTTGACAAAGTATTGGATGTAGATGGGGGTGCAGTCTGCCAGCCAGGGCCTGCCCTGCACGCCAAAGTTGTCGATCACAAAGTACAGCACCAGGATGATGACGGTGATAGCTGACATGATCAGTCCTGAGGGAGAAGGAAGAGGCAGGTGGCACGTGAACACACACACATACACACTGGAGGTGACCATGGTCTCGGTGGTGTCTCAGACCCAAAAGTGATGCCACCCACTCATATGCACCATCCCCTCCTACACCAAGGGTTTAGATGGGAAAGCCATTGATGCTCACGGCTTCCAATTTCTGTTCCCCTGTGGCTGAACCTGCTGAGGGCATCTGAGCATGAGCCAGAGGCAATCTCTGCCTGTTTCCTCCATCCGCATCACAGATCTACATCAGCCATCCAACGCAGTCAGGAGGGTCTCTGCTCCCACACATTAAATGGGCAGAGGCAGCTACAGGTCAGGATTGAAGGGCATCAGCAGAAACGTGTGTGGGCAGCACCCAGGGCAAGAACAGCAGAGGGTCCTGTTGGGGGCTGAAGGACATCAGCAAAGCTACAGCCCCAGAGCGGTGCTGCAGGGACTCCAGTACCTTGGCAGAGCTGGCCGAGGGCAGTTGGACACAGCACCACCTTCTCACACGGTGCCAGTCTCTAGCCGGTATCCTTCATCCTCATGGTCTCAGACAACACATCAGTGGGAACCCAAAAATTAGCGCTACCCCATCTGGGAGGAGAATTCTCCTTCGCTTACTCACCTGCCTTCCCGATCTGCACTGCAAGGCGGGTCAGCTTCCCTTGTAGCACAGACTTCTCCTTCTTGGGGACTTTCACCTTCTTCTTCTCTTTTTCCTCATTCTCTACTCCTTCCTGGCTCTTCAGGGGCTGGATTTCTAGGGCCACACCATCCTGAGTTTTAGCTACACCCCGAGGGAAAATAGACACAGTGGGTGAGTGCACGAGAGAGCCCAGAAACCGGTGGGGCACCGCTGAGAGATGGTGAAGGCAGAGAGAGGAGAAACCCAGAGCAAATAAAAGACTCCCTGCACACACAGGCATCCGACAGTGGCAAAGCCTACAGATCCTGACCCACCTCCCCCAGGGGCACGTGCCTGGAAGAGCTCACTGCATCTCCTCTGGCCTCACCCCACTTACTCCCATTTCCCAAATCATGCCCTTACTTAGCTATACCTGGACAGAAGGAACAAAACAGCCTAGCTACAGAGATGTGGGGCCAGGGATCATTCCCAGCTCATCTCCTGGATGTCACTGTATGATCTTGGGCAAGTACCTTCACTTGTGAGCCTCAGCTGGCCTATCTGCAGAATGGGGCTAGAGATACTTACCCTCGCACTGGCGACAGAGAGTTAAATTTAATAAAGCCCCTGAATATAGGCTCAGAGCTGCCAGACTGGCTTGGACTATGGAGAATCCAGGATCCAGCCCCTCTCCTGCAGCAGCCAGCCCCAGCTGCTTCCTGGAAAAGGGGTCAGGACATCTACTATAGGCAGTTCTGGGCGGTTAAGGTACCTCTCAAACCCTTCTGGAAGAGACCTCCTACCCTGAAGCAGGTGCATTTAGAGCCCTTCCAGAGCTCGTAGATGCTCTTGCATGGTCTGAGTCCTCGCTAAACCAACTCTGCAGAGATCGATTCACATGAGCATCCCTTTCGGGATCCTGCTCTTCTATGGACCTGGTGGCAACGGAGGCTACGCTCCGTGTGAAAGCATCTCCTGTCATTGCATGCCCTGTGGTACACACGACCAAGTACAAGCTCTTCAGTGCCCTGGTGGGAGCTCTGCAGGAGTCGCTTGACAGGCAGCATTCAAGGGGGTGAGATGGAGGGAGGAGGTTAAGTCTCGGGGTGGAGATTGACTCACTTATGACGAGGAGTGAACCGGCACCTTTCCCCCTGCCCACCCCCGGATCCAGCCAACACTGTGCTCTTTAGGATCTGAGAAATGAAGAGGGCCAGATGCTTAGCTGTGCAACCCAACCTGGTTTCCCCCAGTCCACTGGAGTTATGCTGGCCTCCATCAGCTGAAGGCCCAGGCCAAAGAGACTGCAGGTAAAATTCACACTGACTGAGGAGAGAGGTAGAAACCCCCGCTGGGAGCAAGAGTTCTCTTTTGCATTCCCCTCGGCTCCTGCTCTTGGCTTGCTCGGGCTTTTTTTTTTTTAATTATTTATTTATTTTTTTAAAATAAATCAACTGGAAAAGCAGCGGTTCACCCACAGATCTGACTATGGTTGGTCTCTGAGCACATGCCCCCTTTCAGCTCCCACCACCGGGATGTTATGGGTACAGTAGTAGTCATGGTGCTCCAAAACTGTGCTCTCCACGGTTAGGACTGACAGAAAACAGGACAGAGAGGAAGAAAACAAAACTAAAAAAAGGACCAAAAATCCCCACCCCCAACACAACCCCCCAAAACAACCCCACAGATCAGATTGGAGGGAGGAAAACTCAAACTGCTGAGAGGAGAGAGAGAGAGAGAGGGGTGGAAAAACAGACAGGTGCAGAAATGGGCTTCCTCCACACAGCCTGGAAAGAACAGTGTGAGAAACATACTGAAGAGAAGACGCTCACTTAGATTCAGAGAGGCCATGAGAAGAACAGGGCGTAACCATCACACAGGCCGGACCCACCACAGTCGCAGGACAGAAGCGGGGAGGGGGAGAAGGGGATGGACACGGCCTTCTTGCCTAGGTTAAAAAACTCCCCCTCTGCTGCCTTTGCCACTGGCAGGCTGGTAAGAGGTTGCAAAAGGTCCCTTTTGCTCACATGCAGGAGCCGCTGCGCTGTTGAGAACTGGCAGATCCCACCCAGGCTCTTTCCCATGGGGGCAGAAACTGCAGGGCTGTGATGCAGAGGCCCCATCTCTTGGCAGGTGAGTCACAAGGGTTTCATCTAAGCAGATGCTAAGTCAAAGGGCCTCCCCCCATCCTCGCCTCCCTGCACGGGAGACCCGCAGAACAGCCTCGTTGCAGGGGAAAGCTCTCCCCGGGTTCGTTGCTCCCTGCCCCAGAGCACAGGACAGCCCACAGCCCCTTAGCACACCAGGCTGACGGCAGGGGGTGCTGCGACTCCAGCGGGGCCTTGAGCTTGCAGGGATGGGGCCGAGCGCCGCAGAGATGGTTACACCCTCTTCCAGGACAACAAGGCGAGATTCCCGCTGTAGCGGCGAAGAGCACAGACTCATGGGAAGAAGGAAGGAAGGAGGAATGCTTGGTAGTTAGTGTGGTGCTGGTTCAAAGGATGGAGAGGCTGGTTACCTTTGTTGCGATTTTCGGGGGCTCCTGGTTTTTTACCTGTTCAGACAAAGAGAAAAAGGGTGGAGCGCTGAGCACACGGTTCCGACACCAACGTCCCCGGCGACAGGACGCGCCCAGGCGGGGGCAGTGCTTGCTAGGCTCTCAGCTTCTGCTGGGACACCCGGGGTGGGGGGGAGCCCCCTCCTCAGCATAGCTGCAGGCAGCAACCCGTACCTCCCTCCCCTAGCAGCCCACGCAGGCTTCAGCTTCCAACTCTCTTGGCCCTCTGCTCTCTGCCATAGGAAAAGCACTTGGCTGCCGCAGGATGTGGTCTCTGCAAGATGAGACTGGTCCCCTGGCTACGCTGCCACAGCTAACCACCTTTCTCTTCCTGGAGATGCCACTGCCTCTTTGCATCATCTCAAGTCCCCTCCTGTACCATGGGGATGCTGCTCCTCCATTTCTCCCTCCCCCTGTCTGGGGACAGGGGTCTCTTGCACATCAAGGACCTGCTCTTAGGTTGAGCCCTGCAGGATGTTCATAGTTTGAAAAGCAGCCTTGACAGAAAGGGTCATTGTGATCTCCTGCCTACCACAGGCCAAGGAAACAACCAGGTCCCCACACCTCCCACCACCACATGATATAGATACTATCAGCACCTGTGAAAGCGATGGCCATCAGCCCATTTCCAGGCCCATGCAACTGCCTGGTTTCCTAAAGATGGCCTGACTATGACCAGGGAAGCACTTGGTACCAATCAGGGCCCAGGTTTTCAAAATTTAGGACAAAAGTCCCATTTCAGAGAGATCCAAGAGACCCCAGGATTTAAGCCCGAAATGCAGGATGGTCCCAGGAAGTCAGAGACAGGTGGCTGCTTGAAGAAAATCTCTCTCAGGTAATATCTCTGTCAAACCCTTAACTTGCAGTTTAAAGGAACAGCTGCATACTTAAATTAAGATTCTTGCCTCCCAGCCTTGACATTTGGGGATGGCACTGGGAGGATGATTTCAGTACAGGACAGCAGTCAGACAGGCTGCAGCCCTGGGCCGGGGAAGGGGACAGGTGGCAATGCTAAATGACATTTGCAAAGCAAAATAAGTAGTGTTGGGTGCTGCTTCTGGAGACAGGGAAAAGCTTCAAGCGCAAGACTGAAGACTGCTTCTGGGGCAAGAGGAGCAAAGCCCTAGGGACAGGAGACCCAGGATTAACCTCCCTTACTACTGGGAGAAGATGGAGAGATTCATGCTTGTGTCTCACTCTGTTTTAACCCTTCTGGCCAGCACTGCCATTGGCCTGGTTTCAGAAGAGTGGGGAGATGTCAGAGCCTCTGCACTCGCTGTCAGCTCTAGTGAATGCTCCAGGGAGAAGTTGCAATGACCAGATGAGAGTCCCGCTCCTGGTCAGCAGCGCAGGCGTGTATTTGAGCCCTCCACATCAGTCCACAAGCCACCTGCCTTCTGCTTCTCACCCCTGTCCCCTGGGAGCAAGAGGCCATCGGGGAATCTTTTGAACATTAGGATCCTCAGCTGGCGTCGACTAACGCCTATGCGCTGACTGTCCCAGAGAAACCAACCAACTCCCAGCAGTCAAGAAGCTGGCCCGTGGACTAGGTCCTGCCGTGCTGCTCCTAAGCTCTCCGGTGGTAAAGGCCCAATGGTTTGCAAATGCACCCTCACCCCTATGAAAAGTACAGGCATGATGCACGGCCCAGGTGGCCTTCCTTCCAGGGCAAACCCCTCCCCCGATTCCCACCTTGCCTCTTCTAGCCTCCTCCAAGCTCTGCCCCAGAGCTGTAGCTCGGGCCGGTCCCCTCTCTGCCTCTGCTCTGTGTGCCACAAACCTAGTGCCATTAGAGTGGGTGAGATGTGTGAGCAACACTGCTGGGGACAGGGGCAGTCATCAGGGCAGGAAGAGCCCACAAAAGGTGCAGACAGCTGGCAGGCAGCTTCAGACTGTCTATGCAAAAAGAGGACACACCTGCTCTCCCAACCATTCCCCCGAGACAGGCCCCCCCTCCCCCAAAGAGACGCTTGTACACATGACCCCCAGGATGCCGCACTCCCATCCCTCTGCCTCACGAGGCTGCCTCGTGACACCCCCGGACACATCCCAGACGTGCTCACTTGACCCCCGAGCCCAGAAGCAACGACTTCCTGAGCAAGCTGTGGGTTCCTATTGTCTCAGAGACCCAGTGGCCTACTGCACGCTCCCCTCTCGAGCACAGAAAGCAGAGAAAGGCGCTGTTGCTCGCTGCTCGTGATTGACAGGGATCGGGGTGGAGTGGGCGGAATAAGCAGCAAGACATCAGTGCGGTGGCAGGAAGGCGGATGAATTCGGGTGCAGTTGGTACCGCGTAGGTGAGCGGCTCAGCCCTGCAAACTGCGCCTCTCCCCGCCTGCCACATGGCCACACACTGCAGGGCCCCTGCCCCCCTCACCCCACAGACGCCACGTGGCACTGTGCAATGCAGTCAGTGCTGAGAGGTGGCGGGACACAGAGACCAGCCTGGCAACTCTCAGGCTAGAGAGAACTTGAGGACTGGGCTTGGGGGGAAAATCTACTCCTCTTTCAGCAGG